GAGACATATTGTCGTTGTCATCATCCTCATTAAACACCATCATCAACTTATTATCATCATCATCATCCTACATCATCATCTTACCTCCTCATCAACAATACATCATCATCCTCCACACTGTATGATTGTCATTATGATCATATACCATCATCTCAAATCCTCTTCAATAATATATTGATCAGCATCCTCTACAATATGTGATCATCATCATAATCATCATCACTGACTCTCATTTATTACCATCATCACCATCATCACCATCATCAACCATGTATGATCATCCTCAACATTATCTACAATCATCTGTCATCATCAACAACATAACATTTCATCATCATCATCATCCAATGCATTCGATTTTTGAAGCCATTTATACAGATGTTTACCTTGGCCTCCATTACACCTGATTCACTTACTCCCCAATCTGGGTACATGTTCCGAAATTCCGTGGCATTAGGTTCAAGAGTTCTGCGACTGCAAATTAAAAAGTATATTGAATGCACGTGTCTCGGCTGCAGCAATATCTCATCAGTGATGCTATCATCCACTTTTGATGTCCTTTTACCTGTTTACAGGTATAAATGTATTTCCTATAGGGCCGACTTAAGTAGCATCCCAACCGTGCATTACTTCCTAAGTACTTAAGTAAGGTAGTTAGGCCCACTACTTCAACTTAACATAAGTATCAAACCGTTATTGCGTTTTAATGTTGCACTTAATTTTCATTTTTAAGCTTTCTTTGGTAGTAATTTCAAAAATTTCATGCAGGAAAGTTATTTCTAAAATAAGTTTTAGAGATCATGGTTACACCTTAAAAAACGGTTTAAGATTTCAAATATTTTGTGAATGATTAAAGAAATCAAATTCCTTAAAGTACTGATTACGAATAATTATTTCAGAATACAACGCCACACACATTATGCTATATAATGTGATATGACACATTTTTCACCACCTTAAAAGTCCATACCTGTTTAATCATATGCTTCAACACTATTTTACACTTTTTATATCCGGTTCCTAATTAATTGGATAATGTATGTCCTGATCTCCTGCTATGATTTTATTGTGTTTCCATTCATACAGAACAATTATGCAATATAGTTCTGAGGGAACGAAACATATAAACATAAGCATTTCAAATATCTATTAATCAAGCGCCGATGTGTAGGATGTTCTCGTTAAGGCTTTACTAAGGAACAGCATTTACCGGAAAACCGGTCTACGTGTGTGTTTTAGAACTGTTCGGTGTACAGGATTCGTGATATGAAACTGTGAGACATTACCAAGTATATAACGAAAAACTGTACTGTTTACAGCATCACATATTAGATGCAATGTTACATTTCAATCTCATAGAACGATTTCATCGTGCCATATATATAAATTGTTTTTTAATGACAACTTGATTTTATGTGACGTTTTGAAGGTATGTCGACTGTGACGTGACGTCAACATGCAATGACATGAAATTGTATACTGTGTACAAACAAGTACTCAGAACGTCATAGAGACAGCTTTACCGAAGAACTAGCCAATATCTTAATTAGGATATTTTTATTTAATAATCACATCTAACCTCGCGACTGTTACTGACTGTTGTTTCAACCCCTCTACATATGTGTGGTCGAGGAGATCTCGGGAAACAATGTATGGCATGTGGGAGCGATGGTTCTATGTGATGCCGTGTCTTATCATGTCTGCTAGTAGCATCGAATGTATATTTATTTCTGCTATCAAACCCACATGTTCCCCTAACACAGTGGCGCCCCCACTGGGTGGGTGGGTTGGG